GTATCGTCGGCAGATCCACCGTATGGTAGGTAATTCGACCTTCCATCAGCTTCGTACTCTGCTTATGGTTCTGAATAAAAATAATGTGGTGAATTTCCTGAACCTCGATGTATTGGTAAACTTCGAAGATTCAGCCTCGATCTACTGTATTAATTTTTATTTCAACAATATTTTGGATAAACAGATGGCGCTCTGTGAGAATATGAATTTTTGTAATGATTAAAATAATCTTGTCGACTTCTGTAACCTTTTGGATCATACATCGGATTCTCAAATCGGATGCGAAGTCCAATTTTAATAATTCAAAAAATATTTTACTTGTATTGATAAAATGAAGAACTGATAAAATTTTGGGAAGACAGGTGCTATTTTATATTTTTTGTTCAAAGCACAAAATTTACATATATATATATATATATATATATATATATATATATAACATACATACGCTTGTTGATTTTTTTCTACGATTTCGGGAACACGAATCAACCGATTTGAATAATTCAAAAAGCATTTGTTTTTGGCGATGACAGGTCTAGCCGTTCCAAAGGTACAAGGCGAAAAGTGCCAAAAATGGCCACTAAGTTTTTTAAGAGAACGGGCGTCCGATTTTAATAATTAAAAAAACATTTTAGTTGTATTGACAAGATGGAGAAGTGATAAAATTTTGGAAAGACAGATCCAGCGGATGTGAACTCTCAATAGAAATAAGTTAAAATAATGTCATTTGGCGGTCAAAAATGTTTATTGCACTTATGCACATCAAATTATCAGGTATTTTATAGAGATTTTCATAATGTGTACGCTATTTGTGTGTTTTTTTGGGTTCCGTACCAAGATTTTTAATTACGGTACGAGAAGTTCCAGCAATTTGCTTTAAGGCAAAATGCCATGCACCCCACTAGTTTTTTTTAATGAAATAAAAATGCAATGAAAAAGTTTTTTCAAAAAAGAATTATTTTATTTTAATATAATATTTATTTTAATTTAATAGTTATTAAATGTCGTGCTTTATAACTTGTTATAGTAATTTTTGCATTATATATTTTCCGTGTTTTCTGTTTTTTCTTCCAATTATTTGTATGCACTGAAGATGGGTCAAATCAGGATCCGAAACGTTTGACTATAAAACATTTTACTTCAATAAAATAGTTTAAATTATTGGATGGACGCCCAATTTATTATAATATTTCACCATCTGAAAAAAGCCCTCAATTTATAAATATATATGTTAATATATATTTATATTATTTTTATATAAATATTATTAATTTATATATATATATATATATATATATATCAATATGTATATATATATATATATATATACATTTATCAATTTATTGACTTTAAATCTTAATGATCAATAACGTGTTCCTTTCAATAAATCTCACCATCGTCTCAGGCAATCTACCTGAGATTGTGTGTGTACCCTTATCAGCGTTTGTTATTACAAATCATCACAATATTTCAAATGTTTTATGGCTTAATAAAACAATCATTCTTTGCGTGTGTAAACGTAATCTTTTGTGCGCACACTCCTCTGCTGCTGAATTTCATTCGTGAAAAATTTTAGCGACGGAAAAAGTTATTTTCTTATTGCTCACATTGTGTATGCAAACAGTTATCTTTTCCGCGATAAAAATAACTTCTCATTTTGTCCTAGTGGGGGTGTAATATTTATAATTATATATATAAATTTCACTTGAAACATGTCACATAAATTGCATAATTATCTTGGAGCAACAGGTGAGTAGGCTCGATTTGATGACAAGTTTTGTATTTGAATTTAGATACATAATTCTGAAACAAAAACTGAAAAAAATTAAATGAAGTTGTTTTATGCTAATGTGCATAATGCTAATGTGTTTATGTAGGTTTATACAATATATAATATATGTAGGTTTATATAATATATAATATATGTAGGTTTATATAATATATAGAAACAGCCTATAGGCTTAATGTAAAAAATTGTTTTCCATAGTCAATTGCTTATTGGAGCAATTACTACAATTACTTACTACTACTTGTTTTTTTTCTTTTGTTTCTTTTTATTTTTTCTTTATTTGTTTTCTTTATTTTTTATCTATTTTTATTTATTTGTTTATTATTATTATTGTTTTTTTTTTCATTTATTTCTGTGATTATTATTGTTATTATTATGTGTAAGTTTGCCATATAACTCATAGGGTATGTAAATAACTCTGATTGTTGTATAATATGAAAATAAATTAAAAAAATATATATAATATATAATATATGTAGGTTTATATATTATATTATATAATATATAAAAAATATTATTATTAATTAGTATTAATTCATAGTATTATTAATTAGTATTAATTAATAGTAATGTGAATTAGTATTAATTAATAGTATTATTAATTAGTAATAATTAATAATATTATTAATTAGTAATAATTAATAGTATTAATAATTAGTATTAATTAATAGTAATATTAATTAGTATTAGTATAAATATGTATTTATTGCTATTTTATATTTTTTGTTCAAAGCAAAAATTTACATATATATATAACATACATACGCTTGTTGATTTACACTAATAGGATATTTATAAAATAAAAAAACATAAAAGATTAATAAAAATCATAATATTCATTTAACTTTCCGAAGGAGAAGCTTGTTTTCGCTAATAAATTCAATTTGCTAATTTTATGTGTACTCGACGTTTCAAGCCATTCTGAGTCGAATGAGACCAAATTTAGGAAAAGTATGTGTATGTGTATTTTTTTTTGCACAGTTTTGTTGTCAATCAAAATAATATACATTTTTTAAGACAATATGATGTTGGTGGTATGTGTATATGAGCCGATTTTTGATCTTTCGTCGACGTTCTCCCGACAACGGCTGAATCGATTTCAAAACTTTAAAAGCCATGCGATGTAACTCAGTGGGGAAGAGCATTGATTAGTTTTTTGTACGACAATCGGCCTAACCATTTTTTTAATTATCAGAAAAGTGTAAACATATTTTTCCACGTTTTAACCCACAATTTTGAAAATTGAAATTTATTAGAAAGATATTAATTGATCCCAAGGGTACTTTCTTCGTAATTAGGATAAGTTATAGTAATGGGCCGAAAATCGAAAATATTTTTTTTGCATATTTACATGTTTCAGAGGTTTTTGAACATTTTGGCATATCTCAGAAAATAGGGATGTGTGTGTGTTTTGTGTTCGCATATTTTCGTCCACGTTTTCAGGCGCATGGATCAACCGATTTGAATGGATCAAACAGGTTCAAAAATCATTCCTCTGGATAGGGAGATGTGTTTATTAGTTTTTGGCAAAAGTAGGTCAAGCCATTTCAAAGATATAAGGCTAAATCTAGAAAAAATTGTAGTTTTTGAAAAAGCTAAGCATCCGATTTAAATTCAAAAAACATTCTTGTCGTTGAGACAAGACTACTTGTGTTAAGTCAATAACGTTTTAAAATTTAGTTAAAAACAAGCATTCTTCTAATATGCAAGTTTAATAAAATGGTTATATTTTCAATTATGAAAATATGACTTGGACAATCTTTTCTGAAAACTTATCAGCACGGCTAATCCCAAAACTCATATCTTTAATATGGTTTTTAAAATCTCAAAATCGATTTAAAATTTTTGTGAAAATGTGGAGGTGAAATGTTGATGTTTCCTGCAAATTCTAAGAAAACGGCGCGGTCGATTGTTTTTCAAAACTAATCAGCGTGAGTTCTTATCAAGTTTGATCAAATAGCATTGCATTTTTTAAATTGGTTCATCAGTCGTTTTTGAGAAAATGTCGACAAATGCCAAATCACGTAAAAAAACACTGCAAATTCCAAACTTTGGTATTTCCCAAATTAAACCATCCGTGATATTATGGTAAATTGCAAATTGTCCAAAAATCGAAAATTATATTTTTTGCATATCTTTACGTTTCAACGGTTTCTGAACATTTTGGCATACCTTAGAAAAAAATTATGTGTGTGCATATGTGTATGTTGTATGCATGTATGGATGGGTACAATTTTCGTCGACTTTTTCGGGAGCACCGCTCAACCAATTATTCTCGAAGCATTCGATTCCCTTTGATAAGGAGAAGTGTTGACTCAGATACAGTGACACGGAGCAAAGAGTGCAAAAAATGAAAATTAAGTTTTTAAGAGAACAGAGCATCCGATTTGAATGATTCAAAAAACATTCAACTTGTCTTGGCGTAATGAAGAATTAATTTTTTTTTTGAAAAGGCAGGCCCAGCGGTTTAGGAAATCCAGATTTTGTTTTAAAAAAATGCCAGTTAGCGGTCGAAAATCAGATATTTTGTAATTTAAATTAACAGATATTCAAGTGAAATCTAAAACAATCAGGAAAATTCATAGATTTCAAAGTTTAAAAAGTAATATCAAAAAATTTTAGTTTTCAAAACATTTCCAATTTTGCAAAAAAATTCTAAGTTTTCGAAAAAGATCAGTATTTTGAAAGAAGATTTTTTTCCAATGTTCATATTCTCAAAATTTTCAAAAATGTTCAAAACAAATAAAAAAATCTAATTTTTCATTTCTGAGTTATTAAAAACTTTAAATTAAGGTACGGTAACTTCCAGCAATTTGCGTTAAGGCTCGATGCCATGCATCAACTGAAAATGGACATCACTACTTCACGATATCATGTTGTCCAGAGCGAGAATTCAAACTCACTATCCCGTTCACATAAGGCTGTGCGCTTTACCGTTACGCCATGAAATGCAACTTTTATAAATATACTATAATATTTCTAACTCTTGTCTTTAACAATATCTTATCAGTTTATTATTTTAATTTATATCTCTAGAATTTAATTCATAACAATCTTTGTAAACTTGCATTTTATTATATAAATTTAGATAATGTATAGTTAACTAAATAAAATATATAATATATGATTTATAAAGTTTCTAAAAAATCTTATATTAATCTTTCAAGGGCGCTTTCATGAATTCAAATTGCACATGAAGTCACGGTGGAAATCCTTTCTAGAGAACATATATAAGTGTTCATCAAAAGAACTGAACACTAAAATTGCTGAAAATATTAATCCACATAAGAGGATGCGAGAGCCTGAAGATTATACGCACGTATTCAGGTAATAAATTTACATAAATCAATTAATATTATTATTGTTAGTTGCAATTATATACTTACCCACTAAACTATAGTTACGTACAGTTTCGTAATATCAGTGTAAGAAATATGAAATGTAGGGGAAAGTCCCCGAGTGACGGACACCTAAGGCTATTTATAAATAAATCAAAAAATATTTTACGAAATGTTTATTAAATTATGACTTATGTTAGATAACAAAGTTAGAAATCAACAAAAACTTAACCTATGCTAAAAATAATTAATACTATCAATCAAACTTTGGTAACAAAAAATATGATTTTACAAAGTGGCACCTAGTACCGGACATTTCAAAATAACTAGCATTAAACACATATGTAGCCATCTACATACTCTTGAGTGTCTGCACATATGTGTTTGACAAATATTCTTAGATATTGCAAAAAAAAATCACTATTTATCCACCCTTTTGGCTGGGCCACACCGATGCTCTCAGCTGGAGCATTCATCATAAGATTTTCATTCTTTGACTAAAAAATACGAAAAATGGGGGTATGTAGTGACCGTTAGTACTCGCACAGAACAAAATTAAATAATTAAAATAAATTACGTCAATTCTCACAAGAAATATCAATATGTTTACTGTCCGGCGCTAAGGGACGACTTAGTGTCCAGTTCTAAGGGACAGATATGTACTTTCATTTGGCGGTGCCTACTAAAATTGTTTAAAATATCTAATAATATTTAATCATTTCACGGATAACAATCAAGTACTACTTTTATTATTGAATGCCATTCAAATATAAATGCATAAAAACAGTAGAATTATTTCAATTGATATTTAGATGACGCCGTGATTTTGCGCCTAAAACAGACGTGTATATACTTGGCACCGCGATGGTGGAAATTGGCAAAACTGATATGACCTGATTTTTTGACGATTTTTTTGCTGTCGATTGGTGCAAACTAAAATTTTTTTGCTCACTCCGTTCTCGAGATAAATGGGTGGGGCCAAATTCGGTGCTAACTATATATATAGTCAGCACCGACCCCTTTAAAAATGCAAAAAAATCAAAATTTCTTTTTACTATCGTTATCAGTGATTTTTTTGCTGTCGAATGATGCAATTAATTTTTGGAAAAGTTTTGTCCAGCTTAGATTTTCACGCATAGGAAAATTCCCATTTTTGCCAATTTAAAAAAATTGACAAATTTGAAAATGCCCAATTTTTTTGCTCGCTTACTTAAATATAAAACAAAAAAAAATTTTACAAAAACTTTATTTTTTCACCCCTTTTCAGAGGGGTTGCCAATTTTTTGGGGTGTCCACAGGTCACTTTTTCAAAAATTTAAAAATTGTTTCGGAATCTGTGATTTTTTTGCTCTGCGATACAAAAAAGAAAAATTAAAAAAAATAAGTTTTAATTTTGATTTTTTTCGTAGTATGAAAACGAATTGCAATCCGCTTTAAATATGCTTATTTTTTTTCCAACAAAATCATCAACAATACCTTTACAAAAATATGTGCTCGACAGGAATTAATAGTTTCATACAATTTTTATATAAATTTGTTAAAATGTAACAGGAATCGCGGTGCATATATATAGCCGTCTCACTCTCACAATGGCGTATAGCTTTCTCACTCGCTCATCTTCGAGAGACCCAGTGCGTAGAGACTCTCTACGCCGTAGAGTCTCTCGGCGGCGGGTGGCCAAAGACGCATTATTTATTTACTGAAATTACTGAAATTTTGTTGACTAATTGATTCATTAAGTCTGTTTTGGGGGTAAGTAAATAAATTGAAAAGCATCGTATACTACGTAGTACTTATGGACGCAAACTATTCGTTTTTATGCTACGAAAAAAATCAAAATTAAAATTTTATTTTTTTGAATTTTTCTTTTTTGTATCGCAGAGCAAAAAAATCACAGATTCCGAAACAATTTTTGAAAAAGTAACCTGTGGACACCCCAAAAAATTGGCAACCCCTCTGAAAAGGGGTGAAAAAATAAATGTTTTGAAAAAATTTTTTTTGTCTTATATTTAAGTAAGCAAGCAAAAAAATTGGGCATTTTCAAATTTGTCAATTTTTTTAAATTGGCAAAAATGGGAATTTTCCTATGCGTGAAAATCTATGATGGGCAAAACTTTTCCAAAAATTAATTGCATCATTCGACAGCAAAAAAATCTTTGATAACGATAGTAAAAAGAAATTTTGATTTTTTTGCATTTTTAAAGGGGTCGGTGCTGACTATATATATAGTTAGCACCGAATTTGGCCCCAGCCATTTATCTCGAGAACGGAGAGAGCAAAAAAATTTTAGTTTGCACCAATCGACAGCAAAAAAATCGTCAAAAAATCAGGTCATATCAGTTTTGCCAATTTCCACCATCGCGGTGCCAAGTATATACACGTCTAAAACAGCAAAAGGTTGCTCCCGCCGTGGCCGTGTGCGTCACAGGTGAGTCTTGGCGGGTGATCCTGCACCTGTGTGCCCCCCGCGTCCCTTTCACTTGTATTTTGATATAAAAAGATTTATACTCGCTTAAATAATACGTGTTAAATATAGTGTCCGGTATTAGGTGCTGTCCGGCGTTACGGGACTTCCCCTGACACTACGTAACACTATATTATGTAATATTTACAAAATTATTGCATAAATCGCTTGAGGTGAAATAATTGGAAATGTTACAAAAATATCAAAATTTGTCATAGCTTAAGTAAAACCATAATTATTTCATTTTTATCATTTTCAAACACTTTTTAATATGAGAGTAACTTTTAAAGGAACGGAGGATAAGAGGATTTTTTAAATTAGAGTAATTTTACCATTTTGTTATTTTCTATTGATTGACTATTTCTTTTTAACTTTCTGTAGTAATAGTGAAAATGAAAATTTCTTCAAGTTTTGAATGTTTCTAAACATACCCCAGAAAAAAATGGATGTGTGTGTGTGATTCAAAAAACATTTAATTTCTATTGATAGGGAAAAGTGGTGATTAGTTTTTGGCAAAAACAGGTCCAACCATTTTGAAGATACAGAGCTAAATGTACAAAAAATGGCAGTTTTTGAGAGAACTAAGCGTCCGATTTGAATGATTCAAAAAACTTTCTGCTTATGTTGACAAAACAAGTACTTTTGTAAAAAAAAAATTTTTTCTATTTCTTTTTTTTTTGTATATCGAAAATGATCCATATTTTAATTTTAATTTTGGCTAATGTTCTTAAGCTCACTTATATACTTTAAATAAATAATTTTATCACTATATATATAATTCTTATAAATATTAAACAATTTTACAATATTTATAATAATCTATTTGAAAACATTTGATCCACTTTTATGAGGAAAGCACCAAAATCGAATTCTTGTACTATATGTGAAAAGTTGATTGTAAATATAAATAGTATAGTATATAAATTATTTGAAAGAAATATATAACTAGGTGTAAGTGGTATTTTGCTTTAAAGAATGTTGCATGAACTTTCCGATATGTATAAATAATTTAATTAGTCAATGCGAAAATTCAGGTTTAGCTACTTTTTACATTTAAATATTTTGTAAATGAATAAATTTGAATATTTATAATTAAATAAAATAAGTATTAACTTCCCGAAGGAGAAGTATAATTTTTTGCTAATTGATAATTTTATGTTTTCTCGACGTTTTGGAGCATTCAGATTTGAATCAGATTAAATTTGGAAAAAGTATAGTAGTAAACGGCTGGACCGATTTGAAAAATGTAAATACCAATCGATGTAACTCGATAAAAACTAGCCTTTACCAGTTTTGTGCGATGATCAACCGAGCCGTTTCTTTGTAATTAGCAGAAAAGTGTTCACGTTTTAGTCCACAATTTTTATTTGATTTTAAAAGTTAAAAAAAAACCTTCGAAAGATATTGATTGGAAATCGCGCTAAATAGTTTTTGGCAAAGATTGGACGGATCATTCATTTCTTTATATTAATTTTGTTTCTGGCAATTTTTATGAAACCTCATAAGCCTACGATAATGGTTGAATTATGAACAATCATCAAAGTTTAAAATTTTGCTTAAGCGTTTCTAATAAGAAAATAAACCTACCAAACATACAATATATTCGGTGTTTTGTAGCTAGCTACTGATTACAGCTGACGTTCACAATTTAATAAAATACATTTATAAAACACGAAATAGATGAAATGAAATTTGATCATCCAAATGATTTAATTTATACAATTACGGATATTGTAAAGTATGTTTGAATAACATCAATTGGAAATCGTACCGTATATTTTTTTAATGAAAGCGAAAATTATATTTTCGAAATAACCGTTATACATTTTTCTAAATAGCTGAATCTCAATTTTTATTGTTCAATTATTCAATTATCTTTATTATGTGTACGTATCGGAAATTTCATGCAACTTGCCTTAGGGCAAAATGCTACTTATAACTAAATTCATTAATTAGATTGTAAAATTTAAAAAAAACGATACAATTGTTAGCAATCTAATAATATGCAAATTATATTTACAATATATTTTGATAAGTTTTGTCGATAAAGTCGAATGACGTATTTCACAAAAACAATAGCAATTGCTTTTATAAACACAATTACATTTGATTTGATTTCAATGTTAGCTATCTTGATAACAAATGGTTCTTAAAATTTTAAAAATATTCAAACAAAATGCTTTCTAAACTTATTTATTCAGACTAGACCATCTTTTATTTAATTATATATTATTATTCTTTTGCATAATGCATTTTGTCATCTGAATTTATACATTTGAAGAGTTGAGATGATCAGTAAGACTTATAAATTGATTATTATTTGAATTATGTTTGTGAGTCATATCGAACTGTATAAGAATTACCAGATATACTAGCACTGCAGCAGTTACCTGAAATAAAACACATGCAATTAAGTTAATTGATGACTTAAAATAAATTTTAAATAACTAACACTTACATTGAATACAAGCGAGTTATTTAAAGGAAAATAATTCCAGGCTGTAAATAATATCTTCTGATGAACT